AAAGTAACACAATATTAGCAAAATTAATATACAACAGTGCATAAGTTCAACAATCTCTTTATTAACAGCAATAAAGAAAAAAATACAAAACATGCTCCAATACATCAGATAAGTATTTATTAATAATTTTATCTGACAATATACTCCTACCAAGCCCTTTTACTCTTCTTAGTTCACATACACAGCAATCTGAGACTAGCTTTTTATATTCGGACTATTTCTGGAACAAAGGAAGCTGTGGGTTGGACTCCAGACACTCCCGAACTACCCTACAGCAGGTCTGTGAATGGGAACAGTTCATGAGAGGTTAAAATTGTTGCCAGAGGTTTTAATTTCCAAAAAGTCACTTTAAAGTGTCCTTTGCTAAGGATATAATACAATTTAAGATGGTATGAAATTCCTTTGGACCAACTTGCAGATCTTGACATTGCCAAAAAGGTGATGTTACTGCGAGCAAGAATTGGATTCTCGCGTTTCATGAATATCTATTTCAGCACGTGGATCACTTGTTGTATTTAGCAATGACTACAATGGGAAGCAAGACCAAGACACCAATTCGCTGAAAAAACTGTTTCCAGTTATGCTGCATTTAAGAATTCTTTAGAGAGACCACCTGAAGATAGCTACCTCTGAGCATCCAAAATTATTTTTTCAGAAAAAATTAGACTCATTCTGCCAGACAAAACGTCTTATCACTTTTCTAAATGCAACTTAGATTGGGAATTCTCATTAAAAAATTCAGATACGAGTAGTAAATAACACTATCATATAGCTAGTCATAACCATATGCTATTCACATAAATTATTTCTAAAAGTTTTTTAACTTTTGGCTCTGTCTTAAGTATTTTCAATGAGAAGGCCAGTCACCACTGTGGTGTACAACAGAACCTGCAATAAAAAATATCACTGACTGATATAGCTCATGTTCTTCCAATACAATTTGACTACAGCAACATAAAAACACCACTGCGCCCACCACAAAGGGCAGAATTGTATATATTCTGAGCTCCCACACTGTTTCTGTTCAGCTTGAGTATATCTTGATCAACCGCTGTGATGTCTGATGATTCACTATATATTTTATATACTGATCCACACCAATATTAATTATGATAGGTAATAAGCAAAGCTCACATACGTCTCCCTTCACAGTGACAACCCCCTTCAGCGCTCGCATCCCTAAGCCTTTGTTCCCCTGCTTATCTCCCTTAACAGCCCAGCAATCTTTCCTCATACTCCAGAGTTCCAAAACTCCCAGACACCATCTGGCCACACTGAGTTGTATGTCTACTTAAAGTCCAATTGACATGCAAACTAAATGCAAACTACAAACAGAATTTAACAGCACATCACCAGTTTTAAGACACAATCCGTCAAACATTTCAGAGGACTATGAAGAAAATATATCCTACTCTTGCAAATCACTGGACATAATGTCTGACATTCCATAAACCCTTTAATAGCCTATAGACATTTGCCTACTACAAAATCTACTGGAAAATATCTTTAAAGTTTTCTTTAACAGCAAAGAACACAATATCCCCGTATGTAAAATATATACAGGTATTGAATTATGCAAGAATATAAAATGAAAAGATAAACTACAGTGAATTTGAGTCCTATGATCCAGTGATTCTTAACTACTGACACTTAACCCAAAATGCTCCTGTCCGTACCTTCCCACGTACAAAGCAGACCTGTACTGTAGCAGCCATTTCAATAGCTTTAATTTGTTCAAGGCTGGGGCCCTACACAGGTAGCAAGGAACTATCTGCTCCTAAAATTGTGTAATGAGCCAGCAACGTCATTCATCCATTAAAACTAACAACAGAAATCAACTTTCAAAACCTTCAGGATGAAGAGCTTAAACAAATAACCAAAATTCAGAAACAGTGAGATTTTCATTATTCATCCATCATGATCTGCTAGAACTAACTTTACTGCTCACTAATTTTTAAAATATTAATCTTAAACATCTTTCTTGGAATAACTCTTCCTTCCCTTCCTCCCCTCTTTGGATGCAAAGGAGAAGGGGAAGCGCTGGCTTCCCACCTTCCCCCTTCCTAAGGGAAGGAAAAGAGACGGGTTTGAAGGGAGCTTTAAGTTCCAAATCCAAACTTTATCTGTGTCACTTTATTCCAGTTGCTTTCAATAGCTGGGTTCAGTGGACGACCTTGCCCACACCTTGAAGGTACAAGGCAAAACAACGCAGAGGGATTGCTTCTGCTCGCTTTTAACTAGACATTTTGCATTTATTCCTGGCTCTCATTTTTATTTACTGGCCAGCATTTTCACCTGGAAGAGAATTTTCTCATATAGCTAAAATTTTCCGCAACTTTCTGGTTATTTTTCCCTTCAGCCCAGGCCATGGAAATGCCAGCTGAGGACTGGCCGTCCCTACCCCAGCCGTGGGTGACCATCCACGGAGGGCAGCCGCATCCCAGCGGGCAGCTCGGACGCGAGGTGCAGCAGATGCAGGAGGCCTGACCCTCCTGTCGCTCATCTGTCTCCCACCCATCTCCCAGCCTCCCCGCAGGGCTCCGTATACTTTTTTCTCCCCTAAGAGCCCAGTACGTACTGTTGGTGAGCAGGTGATTCTGCTGGAGAGGACTGAGCGGGTGCGCGCTTCCAAGGCTTGACTGCCCTGACAGCGTGGGATGCCCAATGCTGTGCTGCGATCCTGTTGTAATGGGAGACTGAAGCTTGTCTTTATCCCAGGAGGATTCACTCCCACCTGCAGAACAGGGTGCAAACAAACCGTAAATGGCATATACTTTCCTTTAAAACGTATTTTGCTTCGTTAGCAACGAGTTAATACTCTTTACCACAGCTAAGCACTTAGCACAAACACAGCACCTTAAACCTACATCTGAACATTTTTTAATAAATTAATAATTGTGCATCAGGCAAAAACTGGGATTAGAAACTTTCAGCATCACCAACCTTCATAACACTAGTTTCTGGAAACAGAAAAAGCTAAACGCTTAAGGATAAAATCACCCAAGCAAACATCAGTCACTATTAGGTAAACAAGGCTGAAAGGGAACATGTGAGACCCTGCAGCCCCATCTCCTGCTACCCCTGGGCATCCGGCCACCCACTCCCTGCCAGAGACGGAGCAGCGTCCGTCCTCGGGCTCGGCAGGTCTCTCACCGCCGTTCACCTTACTGGAGCGTCGCTCCGCTATGCGCTCCCTCCAGTGCTCACCGGCATTCTAGCTTAAACCTACCCCCGACCAGGTTACCGCTGTTTATCCTGCTGCCGTGCTATTCCTGAAATTTAATCGCTTTTCCTCCGCTGCTGGGTTTGATCCTGGGCATGTCCTAAGTGAAACACTTCACTGCTGGGTTAAACAAGCCCGGCATTAGGTTGGGCTTGGAAATCATCCGTATTCAGGAATTTAAAGAGTCCAGATGTCCATCATGCACAGTAATGACCGTCTGCAACAGAAGCCCAGTAGAGCAAGCTAGGCACTCGCGTTTGGTCTAGAGTACCCGTACGGTCTTCTGAAGAGAGGGTGCTCTGCAGCAGTTCTACAGATTGTGGTTTGCTTGAGAATTACACTTACACACTTGAATACCAAGAAGTTCCTTTTAAACAGCAGTTCAGTAGGTCCTGTTAGTGAAATCTAAATACATCTGGGCCACAAACCAAACCATCTTAAAAACAGTTAGATTGAACATTTCTAGAATAAACAGGTATTTGAAGTGCATTCCCTTCTCAGGTCCACCCACATTTTCAATTAGATTATAGACTGTTACGAAAATGTGTAACTGCAGTATTGACTTTGTTTTGAATATAAGAGCAAGAATTTCAATTAGAATAAGTAAACAGATTACTGCGATGCAGCAGACAGAGGCAGCGAGCAAAAAACATTTTAATTGAAAATGAAAGTAACAGAAAAATTCCATTCTTTACGACAACACTTAGCTAATAAACATGATTAATACTGCTAAATGAAAAAGTTTGAAAGATCAATGATTGAGAAAAAAAGAAATCACTCCATCATTTTAGCACTGTGTCCAAGTATAAATTACCTTCCTATAAAAGATTTGTAATTTGTAAAAGGACGAGCAATACATTCACAGAGAACGATACAGTAAATTACGCCATGTGATATAATATAACATGGCATAGTGCAACAATTAGAAGAACTACTACAGTTACGGCTTTGTCAGCATCTTTGTTATTTAATATACTGAATATCAGCTCTTCCAAATAACATTTGACTGATATTTGGTACAGAAGTTTTTCATTCTGACTACTGCCAAAC